TTTTTTTGAGACAGGATTTCTCTGTGAAATAGTCGTGGCTGTCCTAGAACTCTCTCTGTAGATGAAACTGGCCTCTAACTCACTGAGGTCTGCCTGCCTCTGCCTCCAGAGTGCTGGGACTAAAGGCATGCATCACCACCACCCAGCTCTACCACCGCCTAGGTGATACATTCATATTTTAAGGAGTTTTATTTATTTATTTATTAAAGATTTCTGTCTCCTCCCTGTCACCGCCTCCCATTTCCCTCCTCCTTCCCCAATCAACTCCCCCTCTCTCATCAGCTTTTAAGGAGTTTTTAAACTGACCATAGGAAGTAATGAGTCTCATACTGACATTTTTATGAAGTCTTTTTGTCAATCCTCTGCTTTGTCACCTTCCCACTCTTTCTGGCCCAGTCTTCCCTCCAGTAGTCCACTTCTACTTTCATATCAAACTTTTGATGTTTGAGGACTGATTATGGGAAACTGCTCCTCACAATAGAGCTGTTATCTCTACCCTTAATAACAACATGGCCATCTATAAACCCATTTCCCTTATGAAACAGCTGAGGCCCAAAGAGCCCACAAATCCCTGCAGGGAACACAGAGCTGGTTAATTGCAGACTCGTGTTTTCCATCCAGGTCTGTGTGGGTTTCAGAGCATAGATATAAGTCTCAGATAATTTGGAGGAAACGGTAACATTTGATTGATTTTAGCATATTGAAACATTGTATTGAGCATAATTGTAGACTTCAATGAGAAGAACACTATTAAGAGATAGGACCTTACAGATATAAGGGACAGAGTGCTTTTATGCGGAATCCAAAATCAAGGGCGTTGGTTGATCCTCCATTTCCCAGAGATAGGCTTTACTCATTTCAAAATGACGTGAACCATTCAAGAGCGTGTATATGTGAGTATGTAAGGAATGCCAAGCCAAATGTCTGGTAAGATGCCAGTAGGGTGGCTGAGGAATAATGTTTCCCAGGGGTAGATGGAGAATTTACCTCAAAGTTAAATCTGCATGTGCATATTTCTTTAGTTTGCTTCAGCAATTATTTTTCTCTGCACACTCGTGTGTGTATGTGACTGTGTGTGTGAGTGTGCACACATGCAATTGAACATTCACGTGTGTCGATGTGTGTGTGTGGAAGTCAGGTCAACATCGGCAATCTTCCTCAATTACTTCTCTACCTTGTTTCTGGAAACAGATTCTAACACTGCAGCTGGAGCTCACTGTTTTAGCCTGACTGGCTGTCTAGTGAGTCCTAGGAATCCTCCTGCCTCCAGTTTCCCATGTTGATGTTGCAGCTGCATGTCTTGAACACCCCCCCCCCAAAAAAAAAGAAAAAGAAAGAAAAAAATTAGATCCAATTCAGAAAAGACAACATACTACTACTCTCTCTGTTTTTTGCGACCTAATCATAATTTTTTCCTCTTCAATACCCTTAGTTTTAGATTTGCTAGGCTTATCCTTAAAAAGCTTAATCATAATCTCAGTGGGTATTTGAATAATACTGAGAGCAGGAAAAATTATCTTTCCCGGCGACTATTGAGACTTTCAATACTAAATGGTCAGTCCTGAAAACACGCATACAATGAACAATATACATTGTGAACAAGTTTTACTTATATATTAATCTCAAAAAATAATAAAAAAGAATTTAAAAGTTAATAGAAGCTCCACTGAGGGCTGAGAAAGCAGCCCAGAGAGGAGCCTCCTTGCCTTGCTTACATAAAGACCTGAGTTCACTGCCCAGAACCCATATCAGGAAAAAAAAAAAATCCGTGGCCTGCTTATAACCCCAGCAATGGGGAGAAGATCGGTGTCTCTGGGGGCTTGCTGGCCATCAGCTCAGCCTACTTGATGAGTTTCACGCCGTAGTATTGTGAGATGTACTCTAGAAAACTAAGATCGATGGTTCCTGAGAAACAACACCTAAAAGGATCCCTTACCTTCCCAGGTGGCTGCCTCTTCATGCACACGCTCCTGTCCCCATACCCGTATGTGCCTTCCTTCCCAGTAAACCTATCCTGAGATTCATCTTCCATTCAACTATAATGGTAATCATTAGAAAGAAAAACAACAGCAAGAGAAAAACAAAACAAAACAAACCACCAAAGAACAAATGCTAGTGAGGGTACCTTCATATGCTCCTGTTGGGCATGAAAACTAGGCTAACCACTATGTAAATCTCGAGACTTTTCAAAAACCTAAAAGTGGTTCTATTGTGTGACCCAGCTACCATGTGTCAGAGATAACCTGTATGTCAATGTCTATTACAGCATTCTCCACAGTAGCCAAGTAATAGAACTCATATAGGTCTCTGAAACCAAGGAATAGATAAAAAGTAAGTCTATAGCCAATTATGTGTAATTTCAGGAAAATGGGTATAACTGGAAGCAATCCTCTTGAGTGATTATGTGACAAACATGTTTTTCCCTCATTTGTTGATATTCAACTGCAAATAGCTATATAAAACCATGGATGTTTATATAAGGAAACTCTAGAGAAACAAAAGTAGAACGAAGATAGGAGGGACAAGAAAGGGCACAAAGGAGGAGAAGAGGGAAAAATATGTTCAACATACAATATACACCGAGATGAAATTTTTTTAATTAAATTGACAATTACATGGAGACATATCCCTGTGTCCCTAGTCTCTCCAGGACTTTTGTCATGAAGGAATGTTGGATTTTTTTTCAAAGCCTTTCTCTGCATCTCATGAGATAGATGATCATGTGGTTTCTGACTTTTCTTCTATTTATGTGGTGGATTATGTATGTCAAACCATTTCTGCATCTCTGGGATAAAACCAATCATCATGATGGAAAGCCTTTTGATGACTGAATTCATTTGCAAGTATTTCACTGACTAGTTCTGCGTCTGTATTCATCAGAGATATTGGCCTGTAACTGTCTCGGAGTCTTCGTGTGGTTTTGGTATTGGTGTATTATTACCATTTTTTAAAGAATTTGAAAAATTACTACTTATATATCACTAGATGTTATAAGTCTATTTAAATTACTTGCTTCATTGGTTTAACTTCAGTGGGTCATGCGTATTTAGACATTCATTCCTTTCTTTTAGGACTTCCAGGTTGTTGGAATGCACAATTGTAAAATGTGACCTGCTTCTCCGTATTTCCTGTGCTCTTTGTACTGTCTCCTCTTCCATCTCTGATTTTGTTAATTTGGATCACTTCTTCTTCTTGCTCGTTTATCAATCTTCATAATTTTAAAATTAATAATTACAGAAAATGATGGATATTTTAAAAGGACAAATGTGTCCTGTGCGTTGTACTTGAATATGAATGAGTTTGTTATGTTTTCAGCTTGAAATCTTATACTAAATTTAATATTAATATTTCCTTTGTAGTTTCCCATAAATCTCTCACTATGTCACCAAAGAAATATAAAAGTTTCTAGCATATTACTCACTGATAAATTACAAAATTACTGAGGTTAGATTCTCTTAGATTATCCTTAGACTAAACTATAAAGGATAAAACTCTATACATGAATTAGCCATTCTTATTGCTTTATGTGTTTTTATATATATTACCTCAACAAATAGTATGAATTAATCTCTTAATTTTAGTAATTTGTGCTGTTTGGTGTAATTTAATAATAAGGAAACTTGGCTGAAAATCTTACTCTCAGTTTTATATAGGAACACTAATTTTTAAATTGAGACAGGGGATTAATATTAGAGTTTAAATATCATATTCTACTTGGTGCAACATTTGTTGGTGAATTTGGGCTCTGTTCCCAGAACTGTTATATTACCTTGGTTAGATTTTTCATCCATCCTGTGCTTCAATTTCCACTTTTCTTTCTTAATTCTTTCTTGGGACTTTTGCCAGTATCAACTAGTAGATGTGTACTTTAAGCTCTAAGGGGGAGAGACATAGTAACTTGCCTCAGTTATCAAAATAAATATATCAAAATTGTGATTATCCACGCTGTGATTTTCTCCTGGAAATCTTTAATCCCATGAGCGCCTCTGCAGTGGCTCTTTGGCACAAATGCCTGTGTCAATTTTGCCTCGTTTCAGTCTAAAAAGTCCGTGGGAAGCAGAGTGGATTTAATGAATTTATAATGAATCCACCCAATTCAAACTATACTACAACATTCTGCATCCCTTAACCACACACCAAATTAATCAGGGAACACATTCCTGAGTAATGATGACCTAGTCTGTCTACGATCGTATCTATAAACACCTAACCAAACCTTCACCAGATAGTTTGGTTAAGCTTGCATGCATGAATAGTTATTGACATGAAGCTAGGACACAGTGATTCAAGGAATCATCTGCTGACCTTTCTAGCAGTACACTGGAAAAAATCAAATTTATTTAGTTGAACAGTGAAAGACCCATTTATCCTTTTTCTCTGACATTTGAGCAAGCCTCATGGGATGTAGTATCTGTAATGACTTAGTGAGGGTTACTATTGCTGTGGTAAAACACCATGAACAATAGTAAGTTGAGGAAGTAAGGATTTCTTTGACTTAGGCTTGTATACCATAGTTCAGCACTGAAGGAAGTCAGGACAGGAACTCAGGCAGGGCTGGAACCTGGAGGCAGGAACTGATGCAGAGGCCATGGAGAGATGATGCTTACCGATGTGCTCTCCGTTGCTTACTCAACCTGCTTTCTTACAGTTCAGGGGTGGCACCCCATACCATGGACTGAGCTTTCCAGCATCAATCACTAAGAAAATGCCCTATAGGCTTCCTTACTGTCTGATCGTATGGGTGCATTTTCTCACCTGAGGATCCCTCCACCCCAAAAACTCTAGATCATGTAAAATTGACAAAAAAAATTGCCCACACATTGAACAAGTGAAATGTTTTAAAATTTGGCACCTGAGCCATTGAAATTCCTAGGCCTTGGTCTTTGGAGTGGGCAAGTGTACATAACTGGCGGTCATGAACACTTTGCCTGGCACAATTAAACATTTCACAGCTGCTGTATGGTAATTTACATTCTTTTCTGTGCCCTTTTTTTCCACAGCCGTTGTGAACTTGGACAATTCGGTGGTTGACCTGGAGACCCTTCAAGCTCTCTATGAGAATGTAAGTAGAAGTCATTCCTGTGTGATCTGCTGAGTACATGTGTGTGCTCACATGTCTGGCTGTTCTAATGTCCTCTGAGGAAACATAATCTTCATGTAGTTCTGTATGTTCAAAATGCTTTCTAGGGACATATTCAGCAAATGTGTGGTCCCAGGGTTTTCAGAGCTGACTCTAAATTGCTGCTTTTAACATTATGCATGCTTCCTCTTCTGAAATAACAGCAATGATGGTGTGGGCACTAACTTCAGCCAAACATTGTTCTCTGCCCTTCACAGATTTAGAATTTTTTCTCAGTTTTCACTCTTTCAAAGAAAACTAATTTTACAATATGATAATATTTGGTGCAGGACAAATTTGGGCCTGGTGTCTTTTTTTAAATGTTCTGTACAAATTTATTTATATATATATATATATATATCACCAAATATATATATATATATATATATATATCACTATATGTACACACACACACACACGGCTTATTTTATTTAGCAAAATGCTTTCAAACTCCGTCTTTATTGCATCATGTTTGTTTCTTTTTCAGGCTGAAAAATATTGACTATATGTGTGTGTGTGTTTGTGTGTGAGTGTGGGTTACAGTTTATTCATTCATCTGTAAGACACAGCATAAAGCTTTATTTGGAGCATTTTGAACAGTGGTTCAGTGATCAAGGGAGGGCAGATACCTGCCTCCTAAACACATTGGTGTTAAATCTTTTCAGTCAGTGTCTAGAAGCAAGATTGCCACCACTCACACAGTATTCAGTATTCACAGACTTTCTTCTTTTTACATGTTGCTCTTCTGGGAGATGTGGCGTGCCATCCCACTGTAAAGTCAGTTTATGTTTCTCTGATGATTTGCCATGCTGAATACATACCTGTTGGATAATTCTATGTCTTGAGTGTCGAGTGTCAAACTCAGGCCATCACACATGGCAGCCGATGCCTTTGCCTGCTGAAACATCTCACCATCCTGGTGTGTTTTTCTAATCTTTCAATCGTCTAAGATTTTTTTTTCCTCGTGACTTTGCTTTTAGTCTGATTTTCTTGTAGTTAGTGGTGTTCTCTTTGACTTGGATTTGGTTGTAGAACTCTGATCTTCTTCTACCTGGATATTGATTTCTTTGCCCAGATCAGTCATTATTTCAGTCATTATAAATATGCTTTATTTTTCTTTTTAGTTTTTCTGCCCTTAAATTCTTACCTTACACTGGTTAGGACTGTTGATGGTATCCTTTAACTCATGTGGGCTTTCTTAATTCTTTCTCTCTCCCTTTTCCTCCTAATTGAAACCATTGCCTCTCAACTGATTCTTCAGCATGGACCTTGATCTTGGAGTGGCCTATGGCAGTCTTTCTCTCCTAGATTTACTTCAAGAATACTATTTTAGGTTCTGTGTTAAAATTTAGTTTTGCTTGTATGTTGTTTATTTGTATATTTTTGTAGTTTATTTGACTTTACGGTAAGTTTTCTAAATATTTTTTTGTCATTTCATAGATCTGCTTTTCTTTGAGAGTCCATTGTTAAATTTTTTTAATTGCTTTTAAAGGTGTTTTGTGTTCATGTGTTCTGGTTTTTACACATTTTCTGGCTTGAGTGTTTAGCTCATGATTGTGGACAGTCTACTCAGAAATGACCCTGGGCAGGCTCAGCTCGACTGATTACCGTGGTCCTCATCTTTTTGTTCTGAGTTCTGGCTAGACAGCTTCTCAGTTCCATAACACTGCAGTCACTTGTGTTTTCGCCAGGACATAGGGGATACACCCTGACCAGATGGTACCGTTGTTTTAGTGTAGCAGTTGGTAGCATTACTTAATAGGTCTGGGTTTAAAGGAATTTGTGTGTGTAATTAAATGGCAGTGTGATGTCCTGGTTGTCAGATTTGGACAGCTCTGTCCACAAACAGTTCACATCACTTTCGCGGTATATCGTCACAATTAAATACCCCAAGCATATCTAAGGGGTGTATACATTTACTACCGTTTCCCCATTTGAAAGCTCTTTCCTCACTCTGAGATTACCCCAGCATCTTTACCCTTCACCTAAGGAAGTATTTCCTCATTTTCAGACATAGATTCTTTTCTCATTTGTCTTTATCTGTTCAAACCATCCATGAAATGGGGTAACTTCTATTTTATCATTTTACATTTTATCATTTTTATTTTTCTCAAAAATTAATGTTTTTTTTAAATTTGTTAATCAACATTTTTCACTTATTTTGCATACAGACCATAGTTTCCCCTCCTTCAACTCCTTCCATTTCTGACCCCTGACTCTTATCTACCCCCATCCCCATCTACTCCTCCTCCTTTTTCATTCAGAATGGAGCAGGCCTCCCATGTGCTTGAACAAAACATTGCATATTAAGTTGAGGTAAGACCAAGCTCCTCCCCAGATGGGGGGGGGGATTCAAGTTTTAAAAATCAAATGTTTATCAAGTTTAATAACTTTTTCTTCAAATTTAGTAATTTATCTTTAAGCAAAAATATTGGCACATAGACACTTTTAAAAGATAGCACAATGGCCCATCAAAATATTTCTAATGCTTCATAGTGAGACTCTTGTCTTCATAATAGGGAAAGAAAAAAAGGTTAGGAGCTGGAACATATAAAAATGTTTACATTTTTGAAACATCTCCACAGGGAATTTGGTAGACAATATAGAGGGAGTTCAAAGAGAAATAAACGTGTCTGTCTAGTAAACATTTGAAAAAGTTTGTATTCTTAATAGTCAACAGGCATAGTAAAATAAGACATCAATGAGATACGTTTTCTTAACTCTCCAATCAAAGAGTATGATGGCGTTTCAAAACTAAGCAAAACAACGGTGGAGTCAAAAGAAAGTCCGTTTTATGTATCTGATGGTACAATCCCCATGAAAACAATTTGGCACAATCTCCTAGACGAAGATGCACTGAACATGCAGTCCAGGACTTCTACCCTTCATGCTGCATTCTCAGCAGGCTGCCAACCACCAAACACGTTTATAGGTTCAGCACATGGATCCACTCATACGTGTCTACTCTCTGAATGCAACTCCAAGACAAATTGGCCTAGATCAGAAGAATTAAGAGAATTTTAAAATACAGTTTCAAGCTATTAAGCTTTAGAACAATTTGTTTCACATGAGAACAGCCTACCCCCTTCATGCTTCCCTTTGCTGTATGTGAATCTAAATATAAATACAGTGAACATAAAACCAAGATCATATTATCATTGTGCAACTAATGTGGAATAATATTTTCCATATGAAGCAATGTGTTTGCTCTTGTTATTTTTTCTATGACTTGAGAAAACCAGAAAAACAAGTGAAAGGGGGAAAATATTTTCCTTGCCATTCCTGGAAAGTTGCTGAGACTTTTGTGTGCTATAGCTGTGCTATCCAACCTCACGTGATCTTTGGGGACGTGATATTTTATGGTCACAAAGAAACTTTGCTTGGCTGTATTCATCCTAGAAAAGCTGGTTATGGAGTTGATATGGCTGAAGTGCTCGTGTTTGTCACTTTTTTATTTTATTTTTTTTCTCATAGTTTTCATGTCTGCTATGCCTCTGTCTCCTCCTGTCTCATTATCTTTGAATTAAACAGTTTTACAGGGGAGTTTCCTACTAGTGAATTCCCATAGTTTTTATCTGATAGTATCTTCTTTCTCATTTTGGAGGGACAGTCTTGCTGTGCATAAAATTCTTGACTGATTAGTAAGTGTAATCCATATGGTAAATGGATTGGCTCACTGACCCCTAACCTCTCAGTTATATGGCATGAAATATGCCAATGAATATGGGTCTTTGTATGTTATGTGTTGCTTCTCTTTCCCACTGGAGAGATTATCTGTGCCAAATCTTGGTTAGAATATGTCTTGGTGTAAATCTCTGTTGTATCAATTTACCATGATACCCAGTCTCATGAAAGGTTAAAGAATCTTGATAATCAACTTGCTTAGACTTAGGGTCACCATGGCAACAACTTCTGGGTGTGTATTTTGGGGAGTTCCTCTTTGGATTGCCCGAGGTGAGATGACCCATCCTAAAAAGGAGGAAATGATCTGAGCACCAACATTCAACCCTGGCTGTGGATCCAATGTGGATCCAATGTAACCACATAACCAATACATGTGGAATTGAGACAAAGAACAAACTCTCAAGTTTTATATATGTATGCATATTAGAAAAATATATATGAAAGAAATGGATTTGAGGACAAGTAGGTCTGTATTGATTTTTCAGAAAACTGAACCTGCCTACGGGCCGAGAAAAGAACAGATATGGGATTGAGTTTCTAAAGAAGTTTGTTAGGCATGAGGATGTCACTTTAAAAAGGGGGAGAATAAAGGGAAAAAAATATCATCATTGCTTCAAGTGATTTTTCCAAGTGATCTGGAGATGTGGATCAATGTCCAGAGTGTCCCTGAAGACAGTCCAGCATCATCCTGTCCCCAGTGGCTGTCTCTCCTGTTATAGACTAAGGGGATGTCAGGCAGGCATGTGGCATAAACTGATTATAGGGTGGAGAGAGTAGGCGGACAGCTCAAAGTAGTTAGCTTTGAGGCCATGTCCTCTCTTGTCTCTGCAACTGTCACTATTACTATTCTAACCTTACGTGGAGTTGAACTTCTTGGATGTTTATATTCTAAGTATTCATCAAATTTGGCAAAGCTTCAGCCATTAGTTTTTCATTTCCGTTCTCTGTTCCTTTCTTCCTGGGTTCCAGTGTTGAGTGTTCATGTTCCTTGTGTCCCACAGTTTCCAAAGGGCCCTTACGATGTTCTTCAATCTTTTTTCTGTTCCCCAAACCTGTTATCTTCTCTAGTCCTAAGCCCAAGTTTGTGGATCTTTCTTCTGCCTACTCAAGCCTATCTGCGTTTGTGCAACCCAGGTGGAAGGCTCCTCTCTGTCACTATACCTTTATACCTCTTAGCACCAGACTTTCATTTCCATTCCTTATTTATGTATTTATTTATATTTTTAGATTTTCTGTATTTTTATTGATGCTGTAATTTT